TTTCTGGAGAAGCTTAACCAAAATAACATATGTAATCTGAATAACCCTACAGCCAATAAAGAAATAAAAATGTAAAAATTAAAAGCCCCAGGAAAAAAATCTCCAAACAGACAAAAATTTACTAGAAAATTTTGCCATTTAAAAAAAGAGACACAATAACTTCTAGAAAATACAAAACTGACCAGTTCCCAGTTCATTTATAAAGCCAATATTATGCTGATACTAAAAGCCTAAAAGGACATTACAGGAAACTGTTGGTCATTATCTTTCAAGAACTTAGTCACAGAAATCCTTGACAAAATGTTAGGAAATGAATTCATCAATATATTAAAAAAAAAAAACCTCATAACCAAATTGATTTCTTTTCAACTATACAAGTCTTCAACATTTGACATCAATTAATGTGTTCAACCGTATCGACAAGTGAAAGAAGGAAAGTCATATCATCTTACCAATTGACACAAAAAAGCATTTTCTCCCATTCATGATAAAAACTCTCAAAAAGTTAGGAACAGAAGGATTATTTCAACTTGATAAAGAGCTTTCCAACGCGGTTCAGTCAGACCCTTTTATAAGATACTATCTTCATTAGTGACTGCCTGTATATAAAGTTCTCTTTCTCCTTAGATAATTCATAAAGAAGCCTTGCTCAAACACAACCTCCTCTAGGAAGCCTTTCACGACCAGCACACCCTTATTTACTACCCAGTTCTACGTTAAAAAATTATTTGCATTACGAAATAAAACCATGTAAAACGTATTATTGTTCATTGTGATTAAATGTGGTGTTAACTTTGTTCCATCAATAACAACAGAAGATTCTTAAGGGCAGGAATTTAGGGCATAGTTTCTGTATTATCCACTGGGCCTCCTATGGAAATAAACAAATTGTAGATTTTGAGCAAATACAACTAAAAATATGGGAAGAGAGTGAATTGAGTAAGAGTGAGAAAAAAGAAAGTAAATGAGCACTTGTCTGCAAGAAAATGTATGTTCTATATTAAATGTTTAACATTAGGTAAATAAAAGAATCTCCACAGCTTAATTTACTGCATATGTAAAATAAAGAGAAATATATGTGTTCTGGTTATGGTAAGAGCTATTGGGCTGAATTAGGAATGAGATGGCTCAAACAGAAGAATATGTGAGCTGGCCTGGGAAGCCTCTTCTAGGCTTCAGGGAGGTAAGCATGAGGTGACCACAGGCACCACTGCCAGACTCAAAAGTGTAGGACTGAGGTGGGGTGAATAGATGCAGGGATTTAGGGTGGAGGACTTCCTCAGTGAATATGAAGTAAAGACAACAGAAGCCAAGGTGGAGAGACAAGTCCATAGGTGGTGTATGATTCAGAATTCTACAGAGAAATAGAACCAATAGAATGGATGGATGGATGGATGGATGGATGGATGGATGGATGGATGGATGGAAGGATGGATGGATGGATAGATAAATAGAAAGATAGATAGATAGATGATAGAGATAGATAGATAGATAGACAGACAGACAGACAGACAGACAGACAGACAGACAGACAGACAGATAGAGATTGATAGATAATAGATGATGGAGATGGAGATATATAATAGACTAGATAGGTATATTCGATAGATGGATAGAAACATAATATATATATTAATACGGATAGATAAAAATTGGGAAAATTGGGAGAATTTATTATGGGGATTAGGTCACAAAATTATGGAAGCCTGGAAGTCCCATGAAAACCAGAAACATGGGGGTGTAATTCAGTCCAAGTCCGAAGGTCTGAGAACAAGAGGAGCCAAGTGGAACTCCCTGTCTGAGGCTGATGACCTGAGAGCTAGGGGGATGTTTGGTGCAAGTTCCAGAGTCTAATGGCCTGAGAATGGGGTCTCCAGGGTCCGAAGGCAGGAGGTGGATGTCCCAACTCAAGAAGAGAAAGAGAGAATTCACCCTTCCTCCACCTTTTTGTTCTCTTCTGGACCTCAAAGTACCCACCCATGTTAGTGAGGGCAGATCTTTACTCATTCTACCAATTTGAATGTTCATCTCTTTCAAAAACACCTTCACAAACACACTTAGAAACAATGTTTTACCAGCTCTCAGGGCATCTTTTAACCCAGTCAGATTGATACATAAAGTCACCCATCAAAGTCAGGAAGCTCCAGAAAAGATGTGCAAGAGACTGAAGTTAAAAAAAGGGCAGCACTTGGAAGGTATCCACAGGAGGCAAGAAGAAATCACTGTACACCTGGTTCTGGCTGAGTCAGGGAAGGTTTTCCAGAGGAATTGGGGAAGTGTGGGTCAGTACACTTCAGTGCAAGTGGCAAAGACCGTACTCAAAGTAGTATAAGTGAAACAAGGAATTCATTGACTCTTTTAAGTGAAAAGACTGGGGCACAGTTTAAGACTTTTATGAAGTGGAATTAATCTCATTTTTCTCTCTTTCTCTCCCTGCATCACTTGTTTTGACACTGTCTCTGCTTCTTCTTCTCTTCCTAGCTTTGGTTACTTCTACTATAAGCAGCATTTCTCCATAAGGCTGAGGGAGGATAGGGCTGGCCAGACTGTAAGCAACTTCAAGCTGCTGTCATCCCAGATTGGAGCCTATTGTAGAAAGCAAACTCCTTCTATCCAGAGGTCCATATTCAGATTCAGAAAAGAACTCTGATTATCCCAGCTTAGAGCACACATCCATTCCTAGATGAAACTGAGACTAGAGAGAGACAGTGTTAATCAGAAGAGGACCAAGCCTAGGTGTTAAGCCCAGTAGAAAAAGTGAAATCCTGTTATGAGCAGACCTATCAGAAGGACATGAAGTACAGAAGCTACAATTTTCCAAAGCATTTTGTTTTTATTTAAAGGAAGAGGAAAAGTCCTCTGAGCAAAAACAAAACAAAACAGCAGCAACAACAAAAAACAGTTGACCCTTGAACAACATGGGTTTGAACTCTGCGGCTTCACTTATAAGCAAGTTTTCTTTCACCTCTGCCACCCCTAAGACAGCAAGTACAAGCCCTCCTCTTCTTCCTCCTCCTCAGCTCCCTCAACCTGAAGATGGTGAGGATGAAGAATTTTATGATGATCCACTTCCACTTAATGAATAGTAAATATATTTTATCTTCCTTACAATTTTTCTTAATAACATGTTTCTTTCTCTAGCTTACTTTTTTGTAAAAGTATGGCATATAATACACATGACATGCAAAGTATGTGTTAATGGACTTTTCTTTATCACTAAGGCTTCCGGCAAATGTAGGTCAACTTTACTATAAGTAGCGAAGTTTGGGGGAGTCAAAAGTTACATGTGAATATTTAACTGCATGGAAGTCAGCACTCCTGACTCCCATGTTGTTCAAGAGTCAACTACAGTCTACTCTCTAAGTACATACTTAAAAATACAGTATACTAGAAAATTAATACATTACTGCTTGAGCTGCCAACCCTCAGGAAGTGAAATAAATCTCCTAAGGAACTCCAGCTCTGATAGTGGCTCCCTTACTGCTAAAGCATACTCAGCTTTTGGATTCCAGGAAATGCACTTGTGACTCAGGTCTCCTGACCTTGTTTAGGTCTTCCCTTCTTCACTTCCTTTGCCCAGCCTCATGAGTTGGTATGCCCCAGGCTTCCATGCCATACCCTCTTGCTGGAAAGCCTCCATCACTTTGTGGTTTCCATTTCCACCTCCTACAACATGAATTTGGAAATGATTAATTTTCTTATATGCAAATGCTACACAGTATCTCTGGCGATTCTTTCCAGAGACATTTCAAATCCAGGTGTCCAATACCAAATTCACTACATTTCCCTTTAAAAGCTGATCCTTATTCACATCTTCTATGTCTTGGTTAATGGCACCCATGGTACAAACACAAATTTTGAAACTGTTCTAGACTCCTCCTTCCCCTCTCATCCCCAAATACTAATTACCAAGAAAAATTCAGTTTATCTCCTAAATCTTTCTTAAATCTTTTTACTTTTCTCCAACTTCATGATTACTTTGGTAGTCAAGCCCCTCAAACTCATTTTGTATTACTGACAGCCATTATTTGTTGAAAGTTTACTATTTGCTAAGCTGGCACCAAGCACTTTATATAGGTTTTCTCAAGTAATCTCTAAACCAATGCCAGACATTATGTTTGTGCGAGGCAAGAAATGGCCCTTCTTGCTTGCTTCTCTGTTCACTCTCTTGCTCCTTCTGCCTTGCAGCAGGAGATGCTAATGTGATTTAGACAGTGGTACTCACAGAGCAACAGCCTTGCTCTTTAACAATCATATGTAAATGTTTGGGGCCTCTTTAACAACAGTGAAGGGGGAGCTGCTGTTGGGGTTTTGTGGGCAAAGACCTGTAATTGAAACTCCTAAAACACTCAAAATCATCTCAGATAATAAAGAATTGCCTTAAACAAAATGATAATTGCATCTCTATTGGAAAACCACTAAGCGAGGATATTGATTAAACTGTATTCCCAAGCCAGCTCACTCATCATATGCTTAAAATAAACAAACTTGTGTGTAGTCCTCTCTTTCACTCTTTCTGGGTATGTGTTTCTCTCCTTGTATATAAACGCAAGCATTCAGGTCATCACTATGGATCCATTCATTCATTCATTCATTTATTCAGTGACTAACTTGAGCAACTGCTGCATGCGAAGTACTCTGCTAATGCTGGGTAATGAGCAACACTGACAATTTCTCCCATGTGAAGCCTAGAGTGTAATTGGAGAGAGAGAGAGAAAAATAAAACAACGAATAATCACACAAATGGAATTACAACTGACATAAAAGCAATGGAAGGAAGGTACATGGAACTCAGAGCAAAAAGTGAAGGAATTGGAACTCTCTATCTGGACTGGGCAGTAAGCAAGGGCATTCTCATAAAAGTGTTAGTCTAGTTGAGATACGAAGTCCAGCTTGGAGTGAACTAGGTAGAGATCTGCTGAGGGTGGGGTAAAGAGGGAGGAGAGATTTTCAGAAAGCATAACAAGAAATACAGTTATCCAGTGATAAGGGAGAGCACTTTGGATTCCGGGACCTGAAGGAGGGCCTTGTGCCTGGCACAAAGGCTCCAACAAGGTGTGCTGAACTGGTGAAGCTGGAAAGACAGGTAAGGCCCAAGGCATGCGTGGATTTGCAGATCATGCTGAGATCGTGAAGTCATAATTCAAGGGTTATGAGAAGCTAATTAAATCTTTCAAAAGGGTTGATGGGGTCACATGTGTATTTTGATATAGGTGGATTTGAATAAGGCAAGAATGGGCACAGTAGAGCAGACAGCCTGCAATTCTATTGACCCTGTGAGCAGAGTGGGTGTTTTGGTCACACTCACCAAAGGTGGTGGCAGAATATATGAAAGAAAAAAAAATAGAAGACTCTGGGGATAACTTAGAAAGGATAAGTAAAAGGCCTCTTTCAGGCCTGAGATGAAATCTAGTGCTTAGACTCTGATTTCCAGAATTCCTAATGAGACTATCAGACCGGATATTAAACATGATAACTATTTTTCTATGTTATTAACCTGTCCTTCACCCTTGACAGTATCTTTTTATTAAAAGAGGTCTCTCATTTACGAGAGTTGCATATATGTAAAAATATTAGTAATAAATGAAGTCAAATTTAACCTAATTCTGTCTTAACCCAAAGCCTAGACTCCTTGAAACAGGGCCTTGCATGTATCTTCATGCAACGGCCATTTAACGGAGATTCTTGCCTCAAGTTCTACCGTCTAATTTTGTGATTCACGAATAGCATACCTCAGACCTGCAGCATCAGCATCACCTGGGAATTTGTTAGAAATGCAAATTTTCCCATCCCTTCCTAGTCCTACAGAATCAGAAACGCCAGCATTGGACTCAGCAATTGGTGTTTTAACAAGACCTCCAGGTGAATCTGATGCATGCTGAAGTTTGAGAACCAATGATTTAACTCATTTTCCACACTCCTTCTGTGAAAAACACTTTGAAGTTTCTTCAGCCAAGAGTCATGCATAGTCAATGACCTCTGAAAAACAGATTCCCTCCCTAGATTTTATTCAGCTCTCTCAAGGGTAATAATAGTCAGAGAGGTTAGTAACTTAACAATTCTCTTTTTCACTGTTATATTCCGAGCTCCTAGGACAGCTTCTGGAACGATGAAGGTACTCAATATTTGCTGGTCGAATAAACATGATGCATGTCTCTTTTGAATATAATTTTTCTTCACTTTCCTTGCCTAGTCTTTCAATTTATTTTCAGCTGAGGCTATTTTCTCACAATTCTTGTAAGAGTAAATCACTGGTACCAAAAGGAGGATAAACATCACAGTTCCCGTTGCTCACTACTCACCCTTCTCCTGACACTCCCTCCTTAGGGGGAAAGAGTCACTGTTGTAAAAGTGAGCTATTCCCTGTGCATTTTTTAAAACCTCATCATTTCCCCCAGCAAAATGTCAAGAGCTATTTGGCTGGGAACCCATAACTAGGTAGGTAATAAAATAAGCCTAGATTTGAAATCATGTCTTAGGACTAAAGGACTCTGAGGAATTTTAAATAAATGATTTATCTAAATGAGTGATTGTATTAATTGCTATATCTAGAATTTAGCTTATCTTTAAATACGCCCTGGTGAATTCAGTGATCTGGCTCCTCCCCACGGTGCCTGTGGCCATCAGGATGTCATTCAGACAGGATGAAATGTTCACCCCAAGGCTAAGTGAGAAACATTATCTCAGCAAAGCTGCATTCTAGCCTGGAAACATACAGGCAGAGAAGAAATTAAGAATGGGAGCTGGAGGGGCAATAAACATATGACATTATCGCTAAGAAAATCCATTTAGATATTTAAGTTACACACTCTAGCGTCACGCTGTTTAAATGGACCTATTGATCTTTCAGTTTCAATAAAATTGCTCTCATTTTGATTATACTGTTTAACCTTGAAGAATTTTAGGAAACATCTTAGTTCAAGAACTTTCCTTTCTCCAGACATATTACATTTTATTCCTTTCCTACTTTCCAGCTCTCTCTCTTATTCTCTCTCCTCTTCCTTCCTTCTCCACAACCCTAAAGCTTAAGGTATTATTGAAGGCATCCTAAGCATCTGCCACAATATATAAATACAAAGGTAAAGAACACACAGTATTCACCACAATCTAGCTCTGTAATTTCAGCCAATTCTTCAACTTTCTCACAAATACAATGGGGATAATAATAATATTTTATGATATATATGCTATGATTATTATGAAGATTAAATTAACTAATATGTATAAAAGTTTTAGGAATAATTTAGAGCAAGTAATAAGCTCTATGTAAATGTTAGTTGTTATTTTAAGTGACATTATTGAAATATACCAGGGTGCTCATTTATTAAATATACCAAAGTATTTTTCTTTTCTCTTTTTAGACAGAGTCTTGCACTGTCACCCAGCTGGAGTGCAATGGCACCATCTAGGCTCACTGCAACCTCCGCCTCCCAGGTACAAGCAATTCTCCTGCCTCAGCCTCCCGAGTAGTTGGGATTATAGGCACCCACCACCATGCCTAGCTAATTTTTTTTTGATGTGTATATTTTTAGTAGAGATAGGGTTTCACTATGTTGGTCAGGCTGGTCTCAAACTCCTGACCTCGTGATCCACCCACCTTGGCCTCCCAAAGTGCTGAGATTACAGGTGTGAGCCATCACGCCTGGCCTATTGAGTTATTTTAATAGGCTAAGGTCTGTGCTAAGCACATGGGATGAGGGGATAGTGTGTGTGTGTGTGTGTGTGTGTGTGTGTGTGTGTTGCTTTTGTTGTTGTTGTCATACTCCTTGGTTCCAGGAGGGGCTGAGCCGTATACAATTCACTTGGGACCTTTCATATATTTACAATCACTGGAGCTAGAGTCTTCTTCAGGCTTCTTCCCTCATCCGCACAGTACCTGAGCCAAAACAGCTGGGATGTCAGGAGCTACTCAGGCACCTCTCTTCCCATGAAACCTCTCTGCGTAGCTAGTTTGAGCTTCCTCATATCCTGGAGATCCTTGGGTAATTGTACTACTTACACAGTGAATGTCTTCTTCCAAAGCCAGCATTTTAAGGAAAAAAGACAGAAGTTGACAATTCTCTTAAAGATTAGGCCCAGAACTCAGAAGGATCCCTTCCACTGAAGTCATTGTTTGAAGCAATTGCAAGTCAAACCAGCTTCAAGAACCTGGAAGAATAAGGTCCACCTTTTGACTGGGGAATGTGCTTTTGTAATTACCCAGTGGGTAATTTGAAGACCTGCCCGCTACACAAAGTCCATTCACCGAGACCATGGCATTGCAGTAGAGAAAGTTTAATTGATGAGAGTCTGGTCCATGCAATAGAACTAGAGTTAACACTAAAATTATTCTCCCAGGCTTGGAGTTTAGAGGGTGCTTTTGTTTGTTTGTTTTTGATGGAGTCTCACTCTGTAGCCCAGGCTGGAGTCAGTGGTGCAATCTTGGCTCACTGCAACCTCTGCCTCCTGGGTTCAAGCGATTCTCTTGCATCACCCTCCAGAGTAGCTGGGACTACAGGCATGCACCACCACTCCCAGTTAATTTTTATATTTTTAGTGGAGACAGAGCTTCACCGATATTGGCCAGGCTAGTCTCGAACTCCTCACCTTGTGATCTTCCCTCCTCGGCGTCCCAAAGTGCTTAGAGTTTTTATAGACAATGTGGTGGCAGGGATCTAGGAAATGGGTGCTATGGATTGACTGAGGATGAAATCATAGGGGTGTAGAAAACTATCCTGGTGTATAGTTGACTCCACCTCTGGGTGGGACCGCAGGACCAGCTGAGCCATGATTCATGAGTCTGGGTGAGATTCAATTGAAATAATCTCAAGATAAAAAAAAGATCTTAGTTTCTACAATAGTGATGTTATCTACAGGGTCAATTGGGAAAGTCACAAGTCTTATGACCTCCAGCCACATGACTCCTGAGTAGTAAGGGTTCATAGGAACTGACTACCTTTTAGCAGAGTGCAGGCCCCTCTCATATTCCTAATCCATGGCCTTTCTTTAGTCTTACAAAGGTGGTTTTCAGTCCCTGAGAAAAATGTGGGTTAGTTTTAGGGAAGGACTACTATCATTCCTGCTTTCACATTAAACTATAAACCAAATTCTCCAATTGCCAGCTTGGCCTATACCCAGGAATGACCAAGAACAGCTTCCAGGCAAGAAGCAAAATGAAGTCAACTGTGTCAGATTTCTCTTACTGTCACAATTTTGAAAAAGCAGTTTCACTTTCAGGGAAGTACAGAATTGATGGTGACCATTTTACAGATAAGCTTTCCAAGTGATGACTTACTATCCTCATACTACAGAAGACGATGTTGAAGTTTAATAGAAACCTGCCCCAAATCAAGCCATAAACTAGCAGGATTGAGATACAAGTCTAAGTGTGACCCCAAAACTTTATGGTGATATTTCTTTCCTGGGATATGACGAAAGAATGAGAAAAGTCTTGGGCTGAGATCTGATCCCAGCACCACGCCTATTTTGCTGTGTGATGTTGGGTGAGTCTCATCCCACCTCTGGACCTCACTCTTCTCTTCTGTATTGTGAGGGTGTTAGGCTCAGTGATGCTACAGGCAGTCTCAGCTCTAAAATTCTGCAGGTCTGAAAATCTTTGCTTTGCCCCTTTGGCTATTGATTAATAGACTGTCTCCTTCATTCATAGAGGAGCTTCAGCATGTCAGCTCCATGCCCATGTGGGTTATGAGCCTCTGTGATTCTCCTTCAAGGAGGACTTGCTGCTGAGATTTTCAGGGGCGCTTCCAGACACTTCAGGGTCTGCCTCAGCTTCAGAGAGCTGCTTAGACCAAGGTTCTGCACTTCTAGGGTGGCCCATATTCAAGGGCCAATTGAGGCATGAGTGTAAAGACCTGGACATTTCAGCTTAACAGAGGGATAGTTCTGATGGCTATTTTAACTTTAGAACTCACCAGGGAGATAACTGGGGTTGTCATTAGGTCTCACACCTCAGCTTTTGTCTCTACCAAATCCTACTTCCTTCTCTTCCTTCCCGAGGGTACTCCCTAATAAATATCCTGAAAGGAAACCTCATCTCTGAGCCTGCTTCCCAAAAAACACAACTAAGATCAACTTAGCTGATCACGAAGATCAACCCCCTCAGTTTTGTCAATCTGGCTTTTTTAATAATTATTGATGGAAATATGGAAAAATACGTATTTTATAGTATCCCTAATTTTATGTATGGAAAAAAAACAGCCTTAGAGATGAGAAAGAGATTTCTCCCCTAATCAAGCAAGAAATGACAAAACCAGGTTCAAATTATGTACACCTAACTGCAAGACCCATGCTCACCGCCGTATTCACAGAGAATAGCTGAAATTTTCCAAGGGAGTTTTAATGTAATATAATTTGGGTTTCTGCAGGAACTAAATAAAATTTTATATTTACATAATTCTAAGTATTTAAATTGGAATGGCTTTTCAAATCAGAGGAAGTTCTTTTATACTCCAGGTGTCTGAAAGTTTTCCGCAGAAAATGTAATAAACATAATTCATATGTGGAACCCATTGTTTATATTTTCCAACCAATTCTATATGTATTTCCACTGTTTTTCCTCTTTATGATTTCTTATGTACATAAGGAACCAATACATATGTTAATCAACTATTATCTAGTATTCCTTATTGGAGGAAAATGGTTTAGATCAGTGCTTCTCAAACATGACAACACTTTTTAATCTCCTAGGAAGCTTTTCAAAAACGCAAATTCCAGAATTTTCTTCTCCTAAGCCAAATAAATCAGGATCTTTGGGGAAGACACATAGGCATTTTATGTTTTGAAATCTCCCCAGAAAACTCTGAAGTAGTCAGGATTAGAAATAATGGGTTTTGTTGTTGCTACGGAATATACATTAGATTAGCATCTTTTAAAGCTGCATAATAACTTATATTAAGACTGTGACATTGATCTGCCTACTCATTCATTCCTTTTTTTTTTTTTAATGGAATTTTGCTGTTGTTACCCAGACTGGAGTGCAATGGCACAATCTTGGCTCACCACAACCTCCGCCTTCTAAGTTCAAGCAATTCTCCTGCCTCAGCCTCCCGAGTAGCTGGGACTACAGGCACGCACCACCATGCCCAGCTAATTTTTGTGTTTTTAGTAGAGACGGGGTTTCACCCTGTTGACCAGGATGGACTCGATCTCTTGACCTCCTGATCTACCCGCCTCGGCCTTTCAAAGTGCTGGGATTATAGTCGTGAGCCACTGCGCCCGGTCCATAGCCCGGCCTATTCATTCCTTTTAAAAGTTTTTATGCCTGAAACAAACATTTCCTGAGTACCTACTATGTGCCAAGCCTTTAGCTAAGGCTTGGGAATTCAGCAACGAAAAATGCAGCCTTTCGTTTTGAGGAGTGGAGTTTATAGTTGGAGTGAACCAGGTAAGAGACATGTAAAAAAGCAATTTGACTTCAGTAAATGATAAGTTCATGCATTGCATTAAGGAGGCCCAAGAATGGTAAGTTTTCTAACTCATAATACTGGCTTAGAGAGAGCATTATGCAGGTTATACTTGAAATTACCTAATAGAAAGCATAGGAATTATTTATGGAGACTGAATGGGTGAGGTGTTTTAGGCAAAGGGAACAGATTCAGAGGACAAAATACTGTGGTTTTTGAGGCAAGTAGGGCCAATTCAAGTACTTGAGAGACTGCCAAGCTCTGAGATCATATCATGCAAATCAAAAGCAAAGTATTAGTTTATCATTCTTGACAATTTAGATCTACAGTTGCCACAGAATTGTAGAAACAAGATATCTGCTACCCTATTTGAATTCTAGTGTTTATTAAAATGTTTACATGGGGGTGTAGTAAAAAAAAGTTTAAATGAAATCAAATGCTAGGCAGCGGCACCCATTTTGAATGAGGTTTCTACGTCAAGGATGATGTTAAGGCTTTACATATATTATCTCACTCAACAATCCTGCAAGGAAAGCATTCTCATCCCTACTCTTCTTTATGGGAGATAAATGAGGCTCAGAGAAGATAAAGTACTTAAACAAGGTCGTATCTCTTAGGAGTGATCACAATAAGAATCCAAAAAAGTAAAAAGTAGAAGTGACTCTATTTTTTCTATCCTCAGTCTTATTTTTACAATGATGAGCTTAGAGTTCTGAAAAATGCTAAATCAAAATAAATGTAAAACAAAAGGTTACTCAATGGTGTCTTGCAATGAAGATATAAATGACTGTTATATGTTTATTGTGATCATTGTCACAAATAATACAAATAAAATACATCGGATTATCTGACTATAGTTGTGCACAATAGATGGTAGCTATTGTTGTTTTTAATATCCACGTGTTGTAAGTGTTACTAACTTGTAATCATATTTTATAGAAAATTTTAGGTTAGGTGGTGCTTTCAAGAAAATTACCTTTTGTTACATTGCACCACCTCTAGAAAACAGGTTATCCTTATTTACAAATAAAG